GCTGTCTGATGGTTATTGCGCTACAGTCAGCATCAGTTAGGGCCTTAATTTGGGTCAAGGATCGGCCTGTGTCTTCACGGACAGCCCGTTGGATCTTCCGGCTCAGCGCAGGTGAAATTTTTTTGTGTCTACCATTTGACATTTTTGTCCCATAACGCTCAGGACCTTTTAAGAAATTTAAAATGACTGTCTTACTGCGTCCAACCTCAGCAGTGATGGTGCGTTGCAATAGGCCTTTCTTGTGCAACCTAACAATCCTGCCACGTTCAAAGACAGAAAGCCTTTTTGCCTTTGCCATCAGGGGGTCATGACAGTGTGAATGCCTAATAGAAAATGACATGAAAGCCAGATTTTTGCACAGATTTGGACTTTTTAAGGCTATGGTCTTAAACTTTTGATCAGCTGATGAACAGCCTGTTTGAGTTTAAATGCAATTTTCAATAAATTGCCTTCTCTATTTTTTTGTCTCTTGCTCCTGTTTCTTCTTTTGGCATTTTGAAGCTCTACTTACAACCTGGTTATGTTCCACCAACGCGAAATGCGAATACTTGTAATTTTTCTCCTGGTCTTAAGATTTTGTTCAGGAGTGTGTATATATATATATTGTGGTAGAGGCATGGAATAAGAGACAGGAAGAAGCTCTCAGTGATGTTATCCCTTTAATGACATTCAACACGGGACAACTCAATAACACAATAAACTAAAGGCTACAGTGGGTACGGAAAGTATTCAGACCCCTTTAAATTTTTCACTCTTTGTTTCATTGCAGCCATTTGCTAAAATCAAAAAAGTTAATTTTATTTCTGATTAATGTACACTCAGCACCCCATCTTGACAGAAAAAAACAGAAATGTAGAAATTTTTGCAAATTTATTAAAAAAGAAAAACTGAAATATCACATGGTCATAAGTATTCAGACCCTTTGCTGTGACACTCATATTTAACTCACATGCTGTCCATTTCTTCTGATCCTCCTTGAGATGGTCCTGCTCCTTCATTGGAGTCCAGCTGTGTTTAATTAAACTGATAGGACTTGATTACAAAAGGCACACACCTGTCTATATAAGACCTTACAGCTCACAGTGCATGTCAGAGCAAATGAGAATCATGAGGTCGAAGGAACTGCCCAAGGAGCTCAGAGACAGAATTGTGGCAAGGCACAGATCTGGCCAAGGTTACAAAAGAATTTCTGCAGCACTCAAGGTTCCTAAGAGCACAGTGGCCTCCATAATCCTTAAATGGAAGAAGTTTGGAACGACCAGAACTCTTCCTAGACCTGGCCGTCCAGCCAAACTGAGCAATCGTGGGAGAAGAGCCTTGGTGAGAGAGGTAAAGAAGAACCCAAAGATCACTGTGGCTGAGCTCCAGAGATGCAGTAGGGAGATGGGAGAAAGTTCCACAAAGTCAACTATCACTGCAGCCCTGCACCAGTCGGGGCTTTATGGCAGAGTGGCCCGACGGAAGCCTCTCCTCAGTGCAAGACATATGAAAGCCCGCATAGAGTTTGCCAAAAAACACATGAAGGACTCCCAGACTATGAGAAATAAGATTCTCTGGTCTGATGAGACCAAGATTGAACTTTTTGGCGTTAATTCTAAGCGGTATGCGTGGAGAAAACCAGGCACTGCTCATCACCTGCCCAATACAATCCCAACAGTGAAACATGGTGGTGGCAGCATCAGGCTATGGGGATGTTTTTCAGCTGCAGGGACAGGACGACTGGTTGCAATTGAAGGAAAGATGAATGCGGCCAAGTACAGAGATATCCTGGAAGAAAACCTCTTCCAGAGTGCTCAGGACCCCAGACTGGGCCGAAGGTTCACCTTCCAACAAGACAATGACCCTAAGCACACAGCTAAAATAACAAAGGAGTGGCTTCGGAACAACTCTGTGACCATTCTTGACTGGCCCAGCCAGAGCCCTGACCTAAACCCAATTGAGCATCTCTGGAGAGATCTGAAAATGGCTGTCCACCAACGTTCACCATCCAACCTGACAGAACTGGAGAGGATCTGCAAGGAAGAATGGCAGAGGATCCCCAAATCCAGGTGTGAAAAACTTGTTGCATCATTCCCAAGAAGACTCATGGCTGTAGTAGCTCAAAAGGGTGCTTCTACTCAATACTGAGCAAAGGGTCTGAATACTTATGACCATGTGATATTTCAGTTTTTCTTTTTTAATAAATTTGCAAAAATTTCTACATTTCTGTTTTTTTCTGTCAAGATGGGGTGCTGAGTGTACATTAATGAGAAATAAAATTAACTTTTTTTATTTTAGCAAATGGCTGCAATGAAACAGAGTGAAAAATTTAAAGGGGTCTGAATACTTTCCGTACCCACTGTATATCAACCAGGTTGAGCTCAGTAGGGCCATTGTTTCAACATTGAGGAAACCTTTTAAATAAAAAATCTCTTTAGAATTAGTGAAAGACTGGCTGAACTAACAAGAAATTGGTGCTCAGATGGGACTATTGTAACATTCAAGGTTCAATCTGTTTGATATATTTTATTATATAAGAGGCTTCCAGAAGCTTGCATTGGAGAGCACTCCGGTCGTGTTCACACTGCAGGCACAAGTGGCCGAAATCTATTCTTTTTTTTTTTTCTCAAAAAATCTGTTTTTGTGTAAACAGCACAAATCACATGGAATCAGATTTGTTTCAGGCCACTTTCATATATGGTCCAAATCAGATACAGGTCTGAGTTTTTGCAATGTGACCTCAGTGTGAACTGTCATATCAGAATTCATGTGACTTTTACGTGATTCTAGATCTACAGCCTTCTGATAGTAGTCATAGTTAACAAATAATGTGAAAATGAAAAAATTATAGTAGTAAATCAGAATTGAGCACTAAGGCAACATCTGAGAACCAGTGTGGTCACACAAAGGACAGGTAAAAGTCCAGTTTCTTAACTGGTGTCAGAAAGTGGAACCTGAGAATGGCTGACAGCATGACAGAAGCTCTATCTGCTCCACCGTAAACCAGAACTAATGATGTGGTGTAACTGCAAGCTTAGAGCACCACCCACAGGACTAACTGAGTCATAGCATTTTCTAGAATTGTGTACATAATTGCTGTTGGATCATTAGTTTATGACAAAATCTCTCAACTATGAAAAAAAGAGAAGAGCTCTCAGGAGTGAAGATAGAATAGGAAACAGTTTTCCATTGGGCTTTGCTAGTTCAAGGAAAAAACATTTTAAAATGTCTTCATACTCGTTTCTAACAGCAAAATAAAAAGGAATATTGCCCATATAATATATGGAGACTAGAGGGGTGTTCTACATATGAAAAGACAAAAACACTTTCGAAAAGAACCATGTTTCTAGATATTCCACTAATGATTCCTTCAGGAATTTTACAACAAACACATTTGATTTTTAATGGTTTAGTGTTGTGATGAAGGTTTTTCATGGGACAACATTGAAGAAATGACACTTTGATACAATGTAAAGTAGTCAGTGTACAGCTTGTGTAACAGTGTACATTTACTGTCCCCTCAAAATAACAACACACAGTCGTTAATGTCTAAACCGCTGGCAACAAAAGTGAGTACACCCCTAAGTGAAAATGTCCAAATTGTGCCCAATTAGCCATTTTCCCTCCCTGGTGTCATCTGACTCGTTAGTGTTACAAGGTCTCAGGTGTGAATGGGGAGTAGGCGTGTTAAATTTGGTGTTATCGTTCTCAAACTCTCTCATACTGGTCACTGAAAGTTCAACATTGCACCTCATGGCAAAGAACTCTCTGAGGATCTGAAAAAAAGAATTGTTGCTCTACATAAACATGGCCTAGGCTATAAGAAGATTGCCAACACCCTGAAACTGAGCTGCAGCGCGGTGGCCAAGACCACACAGCGGTTTAACAGGACAGGTTCCACTCAGAACATCCCTCGCCATGGTCGACCAAAGAAGTTGAGTGCACATGTTCAGCCAGAGGTTGGCTTTGGAAAATAGACGTATGAGTGCTGCCAGCATTGCTGCAGAGGTTGAAGGGGTGGGGGGTCAGCCTGTCAGTGCTCAGACCATACGCCACACACTGCATCAAATTGGTCTGCATGGCTGTCGTCCCAGAAGGAAGTCTCTTCTGAACATGATGCACAAGAAAGCCCGCAAACAGTCTGCTGAAGACAGGCAGTCTAAGGACATGGATTACTGGAACAATGTCTGGAACCATGTCCTGTGTATTGATGAGACCAAGATAAACTTATTTGGTTCAGATGGTGTCAAGCGTGTGTGGCGGCAACCAGGTGAGGAGTACAAAGACAAGTGTGTCTTGCCTACAGTCAAGCATTGTGGTGGGAGTATGAATGGTCTGGGGCTGCATGAGTGATGCCAGCACTGGGAAGCTACAGTTCATTGAGGGAACCATGAATGCCAACATGTACTGTGACATACTGAAGCAGAGCATGATCCCCTCCCTTCGGAAACTGGGCCGCAGGGCAGTATTCCAACATGATAACGACCCCAAACACACCGCTGAGACGACCACTGCCTTGCTAAAGCTGAGGGTAAAGGTGATGGACTGGCCAAGCATGTCTCCAGACCTAAACCCTATTGAGCATCTGTGGGGCATCCTTAAAACGAGTTGAAGAGGATTCCAGTGGCAACCTGTGAAGCTCTGGTGAACTCAATGCCAAAGAGGGTTAAGGCAGTGCTGGAAAATAATGGCGGCCACAATTTGGACATTTTCACTTAGAGGTGTACTCACTTCTGTTGCCAGCAGTTTAGACATTAATGGCTGTGTGTTATTTTGAGGGGACAGTAAATTTACACTGTTACACAAGCTGTACACTAACTACTTTACATTGTATCAAAGTGTCATTTCTTCATTGTTGTCCCATGAAAAGATATAATGAAATATTTGAAGAAATGTGAGGGGTGTACTCACTTTTGTGAGATACTGTATGTCAGTAAGCTGGATTCCCTTTCATCATACAGCACATTCACACGTCAGTTAACTACTCTGTGTCAAACAAAGACGCACAAAGACGCAGCCCATCACATTTTCCAAGTTTAATAGTTAAAGAATGAAAAAAACACCGAAATGTTTTTGTCGTCACATACAGACCATGATTTGGCACAAATCCCCCACAATCCACTCCAATAAGCGAAGTCACAGAGGCACTTTCATCATGAGCAGGCCAACAGTGAGGAGCCATCCGTACAGACCGGGGACTTCAGCGACAATCTCAGCCTCCCAGAAACCTCAACTAAAGCTAGGAAAAGCATCTAAGACCAGAAAGGAGTCCTGATCTAGGGGAGTGTCTTGAGTGCGGGGGGGGGGGGGTGGGGGGGGGTTGTCTGGCGATTCAGCTGAGATAGACAGGATTGACTTTCCTCTGTGGGACTCAGCATGGACAGTCCACAATCATGTTTTATTGTTTTCTTTTATTTAGACAAACCCAAATAAAAGGCACATAAAACATTGCGCATATGTTTCCATAATTATTCTCAATGGACATACATTTAAAAAAAATGTAGGAATGTTTTACCTTTCTGCTAATCAGAAAGCCTAGCCTTCGTATATACAAAAATTACCATTGTTAATGTTCTAATACAAAAAGATTTATAAAAGGTTTTTTTTCTTGCATGTGTCATAACTAACATGTCCTCTGAACTAAATGGTTTGTACAAAGATATACATTCATTTGCCTTCACATCTGCCAAATTCATCATACAAACTTCACAGAAAAGAAAGAAAAAAAAGTTACCAAATGATTTTGCCCAAATAAATGGTTTGTTTTTCACATTAGGTTGGAGTCAAATTAAAAAATTAAACCACATGGTTTGATATCACCAATACATTTATAGGACCTCAAATAAAGATGTGAATTCATAATTCAAGGTTGTTCCTGAAGTAGAATAACTTCACAATCATTGGGTGTAAAATAATAATAAAAAAAAAAAAGCTAATCACAACATGGTTTTGGCTTTCAGACCTGTGGGGCCCTTGGCCGTCTGAACTGATGAAGGCTTCTTTCACAAAACGATTCCACCACACAGCACATCTAGAGGAGGAAGCATCGACGCGTGGAAAAGTCTTGCAAAGTATTTCAGGCACACTTTGTTTACGGCCACTGGAGAAGGACAACTGACACCACACACTTCCTTTCATCCTAATTTTTTTTTTTAGTGTTTTGTTTTCATAAAAAGTCACTAGCCTTCTAATAACGGTTGTTGAACTCAAACCTACACTGGACAAGGTCAGTCATCCACATGCAACATTGGAAAAGAAAAAAAAAAAAGATGGGAAATGGGAATGGGAATCATTTGATAATGCCGTTCCACATTAGAGCATTTCCTTTGGTGGACAGTGTTGGCATGCATACAATGAACGTATTGGGCCAAACATCTGGGCAGCCAAAATGCAGATGTTGCCAGGTGAACTGTAAAACAAACACCAATCATTGTCTCATTCCACCTTATTGAAATGCACCTCTAAGTACCACTCTTCTGTAGTGTGCACAACCTAGTTTGCTGCAAGTGCTTCAGAGTTCCTGCACTGAAAGAAAAGGCCCTTAACTAGAAAAAGGCTTCACATCTACAAACTAATTCACTTGTGTTCCCCAAGATACACACAGCCAGGGAACTGTGGGACAGTATACAAGGCCTGGTGCAGGAACTGCTGAGGCTGCGATCACAAAAGAGACTTTGTTCAGTCACGGTCCACAGGTTTGGTCGTGACCTGGCGAGTTCTGTAAACCTGTTCAATGCAGCCACAGCGCAGTACTCCAAGGAGGACTCTAGGTGGAGCTGTTGGAAGATTTGATTCACGTTTTGCTGCAGTTTTTCTCCCTGTCCATTAAAGCTGCAGTAGGTAACTTTTATAAAAATATTTCTTGTCATATTCACTGAAACCTTCACTACATCCTGACAGTAGTACATGAGACAGATAATCTGTGAAAAAAAGCAGGTTCCTCTGGCTCCTCCTAGTGCTCCTAATGGTATTTGCAAGAATCCACTGGGACTGAACGAAAACAACCAATCAGAGGCGAGAACGATAGTTGATAATTTTGTCTCATTCCCAGACTGTGAAATACCACTGTGAGTCAGCTTCAAGCCATCAACCCAAAATGCAGTGCAGACATCTGTGTACTGCCAATTTGTTGTGACCGTGTGCACTGTCTGCACGGTCGCAGTCCTTTAGGCCTTTTCTACCAACTGGGAACCGACTCCGTTCTGCTTCAAGCATGTAGTTTTGAACAGTGTGGGGCACTCTGACCAAAAATAAATTGGTTCAGAACCTGAAAGGTTATTCCCAGCTGGAACCAAAAAATATCAGGTTTTCCTTGGAATTCAAAGTGCGCCCATCATATTCTACAGGTCGTTGCGCATTGTGGAGTGCCCTCTGTTGATGATGCATGTGATTACTATTGTTGAAACTTTGACTCATATGCTAGATAACACCAAGGTCCCAAAAACTTGAACAAAACTAACTTGGTGGAAAAGGGGCCTATGGGGAACACATCCTCCAAGTGGAAGGTATACACAGAAGTACAATACCCACACAGCAAGAGGTGTAGCACTGCACCGGTCATTGGGAGTGCGTGATTACAAGTTGTGTTGTTGCTTAGCAACATGAATAATGTTACTCCCACTCTCTGACATCTTGCTTTTTCAGGTACACCTGAGCTTTGAGCAGGACACTGAAGCCTCCTTTGTGACCACAGCCTCAATTTTCCAGTAAAGATAAACTGTCAGGATTTAAAAAAAAAAACAACAATAATAAAATAACTAAAAACACTCTGAGCTATGCAAGTGAGATCTACAGAGAAAATTCATCTGTAAAAGGATAAGGCTGGAGTTACTATCTAAAATAATAATAATAATAATAATAATAATAATAATAATAATAATAATCATCATCATCATCATCAACGTCTCAGGTATGATGGTTAATTACAGCCTCATATTACTAACACTGCCTTAAAACTGTTTTCCAAAACCAATACAAAGGTTGAACTGTTTTTGGTATGGTACGGTAATGGCAGCATAAGCTATATCCAGCCTTAGTTACAGGTGACAGTCGTTTGTTTTTTGCCTTTTTATGGGATTCATTGATAATAAATAGAGACTGACACCAGCCTTATCCTTTACTCTCTGCTCGTTTCCCTGTCCTCTCCAGGATGGACGGCCACATCAGTGGTGATAGAGTTCTTGCATTGCTAGCCTGTGGTATGTAGAGAGGATCCCTCTCCCACAGGTAAAAGGCAATAAAATAGTGTTTCATATTTACAAAGAAATGGTCAGTGTGTAAATTGTTGAACATGGTGTTAAGACTATTCTCAGTAACCTTCCTGAGTTTGACTGACAGTGATGGGATCCTATACCTGCTAAAGTAAACAATCTAACCAACTGAACATAGCACAAAAGCGAACTTTGGGACCGCTTTTGTAGTACAGAGCCTAATGAGCCACTGGGTGGCTCTCTTGACCTCTACAATTAAAGTCCTCAGTAATCAAAATTTAAAATCATTTGACCTTTGATAATACTGCCATTTTAAGGGCAAAACCTAGGGGACATGCTTTCAGTACGACACATTTCCTCTTTGCTGTACCTTCAACTGTCATGTCCTGATATAAATACATACAAAAATTCCCAAACAGATGTCACATAAACTTGTGTAGAGTATTACGAGTGACTGGTTTCCAGCTGTTTTAAAATACAGACATAGGGGGACTGGTTGATCTTAACAGCCTCTGAACCATCACTGAAATCCACAAAATCAATCCCCCTCCCCCAAAATGGAAGCTTTGTTTGTTTATAATTAAACTTTAAAATACATAAACTATCAAATACTGATAAGTCCACTAAAAAGAACAATAGAAAAAAAGTACATGACAACATTTGCCTTAACTGGAAGCATTTAAGAACAACTCCAGCAATACACGTCCATTTAAGGAGTTGTTAAACAATGCCTAAGGTATAGTAAGGTATAACGCATCACCATGTTTGAAGTCAGACCTACACAGTCCTTCAGTGGCTAAATAGAAATGAAAGACTTTGGAAAAGGGCTCTAAGAGGGTTTGCATCAGCGCAGTGTATAATGTGTTAACTGCCAACACTGCCTCAACGATCTGTCAGAGTAAAACAAACTACTCAAGTTTGAACAGGGGGTAAGCAAGGGATAAATGCAAACAATATGGGTGAACATGCAGCAGCTGATATTGTAGTAACTGCCCAATAATATGAAACCATCTTACAGTGGAAGAAAACACTCGTTTGAAAGTGTAATGAAACCTTTTGAATGTGATGAACTTACACTAATGCAAGCAATTTAACATTAATATACAAATGATCACGTATTAAAATGATGCAAAACGTTGACTTATTATAGCAATAATATGAATGGGAAATTTCAATGTAACTGGGTAAACCCCAGTATGTGTTGGCTCACACCACACCACAGCTCCAGAGGTGGTAGTACGGTGATGAGGGGTGGGTGGCTGCAGGGGCAAATTTCATTACTGTGTTTTAAAAGGAGAATTTAGTGTCCCATGAAGGTCTAAATGCTGTTTAAAAGGTTTTCCCCTTACATGTTAAAATATAGCATTCAGGGGGAAACACTATACTTAGAAAATCTTTGGCATAAAATGGTCATTATTTACATACACAACGTCTGCACAGAACGTCCTCCCCACCTGAAGGCATGGGGTCACATTAGCATGTGAAATAAGTTATTTGAAGTATTCTGCGGCCTGTGACATCATTCAAGTAGTCAAAAGGTAAGAAATATGAGTTTATCAGAGCGCCCTTGACCTTGGAGACAGTAGTTTGACTAAATAATCTTCAGGACCACTTGCAAGCTTTCAACTGTAGATCATGGTCTTGATCAGTAGATGGAGGCCAATAAAGACCATATGATCAGCTGTTATGCCTGGAGTTCTGGAGGTCACACTGTAACAACTGTGTAACCCCCATCCTCTGATGAAGACTGTGAAATGCAGTTGATAGCTAAAGGAGAAATGAATAAATGACACCTAGACATCAGATTATCTGTTCATATCTGAGATCAACTTGGCCCTCAGAAACTCAACTAATAGGTAAAGAGCTGTGAGCAGTACGACAGATTAACTCTGAGAAGGTGAGTAACACCATAGACTGGGGCTGGGCGGTATGTCATTGGTCAGAATTGATGCCATATGGTTTACAATGAGGTATCTCTCACTCCTGCTCTATCAGGACAGTGAGGGCAATATTGTAAATCCATGAACAGGACTGCTTTATGGTGATTGAGTTTATGGCATCAATGTGTTAAGTACCTTGATCTGTAATATAATTAATTCACTGGGTTAGCCAAAAACAGAAACTTCCATCTGGAATCAATAAAACTTTTCTCTATTCAATTTCTAGAATTTCCTATATTACAATATCTAAAATATATATATATAAAAAAAACACTAACTATGATAGAATAAACCGTTGATTTGACGGATTCTCCTGTGAAGTGCATATGCTATGTAGGCCAATACTCTTCAATGAATGACTGTAGAGCTGATAGTTGATGACTAATAAACTGATTTGCCAACAGTTTTCACTGTATTGAGAGATTCTTTAAGAACTGTCAGATTTTATTTACAATTAATCAAGAAACGTATAGATTAATTGATAATGAAAGTAATCATTAGCTGCACCCCTAACATGACTGTAAGCCCAAGAGTGATTAAGGATATCTGAAACGTTTGGTTCTATAAATAGAAATAAAATTCAGAATTGACAAATTATGCTGTAATCACTGGTTACTATCTGTGGTTGTATTACATTAGTTATCACCTTTTCAAGTTTAATACACTAGCAACCCATTTAGAGGGCCTTTTACTAAGATTTGACAGGCTCATCCATTATTAGGCAGTTAAAACATGACCGGCTCTTACATGGGCTAAAAGGGCTCTACCAGGGAGGGGAGGAAGGCAGAACTTGGGATAGAAAAGGCATGCTCTCCATGGGCCTCATGGCAATGTTGAGCGGCCCTGTGATATTCATGGGCATGGGAGTGGTGATAGCCACCGGGTGGGCAATATTCATGTGTGCCGTTGTAGGGATGTTGACGGAGGCCAAGTTCACGGGGCCGGTGATGGTGACTGGGTGCTGCAGGTTGACCGGTGACGTGATGTTGACCGTGCTGGTGGCGATGTTCATCTGAGCGGCGATGGTGACGGGATTGCTGGCGTTGCCGCCACGGTTTACAGTCGAGGTGATGGCTGCTGAGTTGGTGACTGGCGTCGTACTGGCCGAGTTGTTGTGCACGTTGTTGGCATCTGTGGGTCATTTTTTTGTTTTTTTTGTTAAAAAAAAAAAAAAAAAAGACACAAGAGTAAATTTAGGGCTGGTCAACCTCATAGAAATATACTACCCCTCCAAAACAGGGAAAGCCAACAGCCCTCTATGCTCCATGGCTGTTTAGCTGGGTCACTGAAAATGTCAATACATCATTAATACATTATGTCAACTGTGGTAATATTGTTGAAGAAACCTACCTTTGTGAGAGTTGTCAATTAGGACTTGGAAGGAGTTATTTAAAATCTCTCCTACCGTCAACTCACCTGAGGGGTAAATTCAAAAAGCAGGATCAATAGACTAACCAGCTAACTGTCCATTTGTTTTCATTCAAAACTTTCATTTGAAACAGTGACACATTATGTAGGACATCTTAAGCTCTTTATGTCTAAAGCTGGATGCACACTACACTGCAGGACTGATGTGAGGAATGAGTTCAGGTCCGGCACATCACAGGGTCATTATCGGCTCGTCTCAGCCATGCTGTGATATGGTTGGATGGCTGCTGGGTAATTTATAACCCCCATCTCCACCGGGTCATCCCAATTTTTATCAAACATGTTTGCTGTTATAATTGGTAGTTCTGAAGAGTACAAGTTGGTTTATCAATCAGATCAAAGTAGAGACAGAAATGAGGTAATACAAGATAGATAAGTAGTGTGCATCTAGCTTCAGTGTTATGGTCCAGTTTGTGGTTCATTTAAATGATCTACTGATCCTGCTTCATGAAATTTAACCTTACATTAGCAAGAACTCTATATCTTCAAAACAGAATAACCTTAATAACACCAGTCCTCAGAGACAAGAAATGCTTCTGAACTTGAGTTACACGGTACGTGAAGAAAAACTGGCCACTTGTGTTATCTTGTGTCAGAGGTTATAATTGAGTGTTTAGGGGTTTCTGCTACTAGCTACTGGATTACCTTTTCGTGGCCCTGAGTGGTTCCACTGCCAGTCACTTATGCCTATTCAGAAATACAGACACATATTGGGTTACAAGAGCACAGGGCAGCAGTGCCATCATGTGGGAGTCAGCTTCAACAGTTCGCATGGTCAAGTTGTGTGCATGTGGCATGGGAATGGGCTGTTTAAATATTAAACATTTTATGACGGGTTCACGGTTTCTAATGGGATCAGGGGAAAAAAGCTTTTCTTTGATAGCGGTCACTATAAGTAAGGTCAAAACAACATACAATTTAGTAAAGAATGTTATACAGCAGTCGTGAAGAAATTCTAACTGATAAACTTGTTTCTGTCTTAAGCTGATCATTATTTCAAGTGGGGAGGTTGCTTCAGTCACCTCAAAAAGGATGTTTTCCCAAACAAACAGGCACCAACATTAATTAGTTTATCTTAGCATTGTTGATGACATTTAATTCATCTCCCTCTTTAAGGAGTACTCAAGTGATTTAGTAAGGTACTTCCATAAAATCAGATTTAAAAAACAAGTGGTAACAATAATCAAAGTAGCAGAGACAGAGACATCCCGACTTGTAGTCCTCAGAATGGGGGGTTATCTGAACAGAAATGCACATAAGAAATCTAGCAAAGATGAGGTAAATATTGCCTAATGTCTTTAACCACGTACAGCAGAGCAATATTTTATAAATGAACAGTGAATCAAATGACTCCTGTTTATGATGAAGGGTTGCCAACACTGTCAGTAGCAATGATACCCCACCATGGGGTTCTACATAGCCTCATTCAGCTCATTATAGTAGACCTGCTGTTTTGAAAGCAAGCATGGACGGTTAATCCCACCAGATGGTGAAATTTAACAAGCAACTAATGAAGAAATTCAAATATTTAGTAGATTACACCAGGTATTCAGGTTCATTATTGAGAGTGTGTTTTGAAATATGTGTGATCCTGTGGTCAAAACACACTTTTTTTAGTGATGTTGTAATTTAAACTGTTTGTTAAATGTCTTTAATTGCAACTATTTCTGTCAGATGAGCTGCAGGCTCACAGGAGCCACAGACTGAGATCAGAAAGACTAACTATTCCCAAGTTAAAGTCTCTCTCTCTCTCTCTCTCTCTCTCTCTCTCTCTCTCTCTCTCTCTCTCTCTCTCTCTCTCTCTCTCTCTCTCTCTCTCTCTCTCTCTCTCTCTCTCTCTCTCTCTCTCTCTCTCTCTCTCTCTCTCTCTCTCTCTCTCTCTCTCTCTCTCTCTCTCTCAATGTCCAATCCTAGTAAATGTTTTGACTCGCAGGACAACTTTATACTCTCAAAGCATTCGAAACACATTGAAACTGACACATTCACATGACCAACATTTGCAATGAATACAAGGTATGTTATGAGGAACAAGTGACAGTACATCATGTGTTTAAGATGAGACAAAAATTTACTGAAAATGCTCACTAGCTAATAGCTTGCAGCATGTGTATCAGCTTAAGTAGAGTTAATAAGGCAGCATTCAGGCCTGTGTGACAGCAGTAATTATAGTTGTATTTTTGAAGTTTACATATCTGTCTCACTTCTTAATAAACACATTTACAAAAGCTAGTGGTTAGTGTTTGAAAAATAAAAATTATGTACTTCCATGCCCTTAACATGTTTGTGAGATGCTTGCTTTTCTTTTAAAAAAAAAAAAGAGTGCATACTACTAAGCCTGAGCCTGTATGATTACTATCATTGTTGTATAGTCTGGCTCAGGTCAAACCCTTTGTCAGTGTCATAGTAGGGTTCGTCATGTCTTTACCACCTGGCGGGAAAAATGGACAGGACACTGCTGGGAAGTAGCAGGGTTTCGTTTCAGGGATAATAAATTACATGGTATTGGATCAGTACACAGACACGCATACTCTCCGATACCCAATACTGCATTTTAGGCAGTATTGGAGGAATTTCCGATACTGGTATTGGTATCGGAACAACTGTACTGTAGTTCCACTCTACAAACTGCCAACACACTCATTCTTTTTCCAAGATAAAAGATCAAAAACATATTACAACTTAAAAGCTTATGATAACACAACCTTCAGTTAGGGTCATGGCTGGAGGAACAACTGACTTCTCCCAGATCAGTATCACAACATAATGTATCCAATATGTTAATGGAATGTGTGTTGCTGGAGTGTTGTTAATCACAAACTTGGCTATTGTTTAGGTGTTAAGCTGAAAAAGTGAGCAAAGTAGTGAGGAGCTGTAAAGAGAAGTAAAAGGAGACATGTGGCCTACCTTTATTGTTACAAGGGTTGCTGAAGCTGGCCTGGCCATGCGTCTTGAGGTGACTTGTGATGTAGGCAGCACTTAGCATTTTGCCACAGATGTTGCAGGTCACTTTGCCTTCATGCCTAATCATGTGGGAGCGCAGACGGTCTTTGGTAGCAAAGGCGGAGGTACAGGCCTGGGACAGAAAACCAGTTAATATAGTTTTTTTAGTCCCCTCTAAACACCTGAGGAACCTGATCTTACATCAACAAAAAAGACAAATGGAAACTCCTTTCTTGAAAAACTATTATATATATTAATACTAACAATTTATTCATGTTTTCTGATACAAACAAAAGCACACATAGGCTTTACCAAAATGTGCACATAGGTAGGCAATACTTTTCAAGCTCATGCTGCCTCTTCAAATTCTGTCAATTTCTTGAGTGATCAGAAATGTATGTTCTGCTACATATGCTGTACAGATTTGTCCACTAAAGGACATTAACATTGTTGATTTAAAACATGGAGAACTCATTCATGAAGCTGGCAAGTGCAATTAAACTACACTGCAACTGTTAATACATACCAATGGCTGTCTAAGTAGTAGCTACTGGGTGGCAGCTAATGTTGTCAAATCTGATATTGGCCTTCAATATCAATGGTGTTGATCATCACATATAAATAAAGGCACAGGTCATGACTCTTACCGTTACTTGGCACTTAAATGGTCTCTCTGAGGAATGGACATGCTTAACATGACAGCTTAGGTGATCAGGTCTGCAGGGTGAGATGAAGACAAGAAAATGCAAATCCTTCAGCAACATCATTTCATTCACATATAAAATACATATCGCAGTCAGGATGTTGACCACATCAGAGTTAATAGCACTTTGTCCACCACACAGATCGGGGTGGTCTTACATTCCCCAATTGTAAACCAGTTAATATAGTTAACTTCGTAGCCACAAAAACATTTTGTCAACTAAAATGCACGTCATGTTACTTCCTGACCTGCCGCCTTTTCCTCTATATTTTGCCAAAGTTCAAGAGCGGTGACTACTGGTCTTGAGTCTCCCTAGCTAGGCTAGGTCTTGATTGGCTTGATCTGCGACAATAAATTAGCATTCGAAGGATTAATGGCATTATAATTAGAAAGAAAAGCATTATAAGGCTCAGATTTTGTTTTTTTGGCCAACAAATGGCTCTTTTGACAGTAAAGGTTGCTGATCCCTGACAGATGGTAGGAGCAGTGTACTACCATAGTTGGTAATGTACTGTATTCTTAGGTCATTGATTCCCAAACTGAGGGTTGCAAGGCCTTTGTGATTTTAAGGGGTCTAAGAAAACTTCCAAAAATATATACAAAGTAGGCCTATATCTCAGAATTCCATTCATTCCTGAATTCATTCCATTCAAAACTAAATTAAATTGTTGTTTATAGGATGTTATTTATACTATCAATTCAACAGAACAACGAGAAGTAAACACTGAAAGTCAAAAAAAAGGAACTCATTACTGTATACTAATATGTATTAAAAACAATACATAACAGAATTGTTTAAAAAGGTTCCTAAAAATATCAAGAACTCATCTCTGATCAACAATTACAGGAGATAATTCATTCAATAACTTTACATAAGGTTCACATCCTAAACATTACACAGACACACTACACTTTGCTACACTCAGACTTTGACTCTGTCTTTCATTAACTAGTCTAGTGCAGTTTACAAATCAGGCAGCAGCTCCTTGTTTTCATCCAGCACTGGTTGGTTAATATGACAAGCATTGGTGGCAGATCTATCAGTGACACTAATCAACGGGAATTCTGTGAGTAGTTTGTTAACAGGAAAGAAATAAACTTGTCTGACTGGTTAAAGCGCTCTCTGCATGCCAGTGTCTGTACAGAGCCAAAGATCTTTTGTAAGGGATGAACCTTCACTCTATAACACCACCATACAACCGCAAATGTACTTGCATGCTCCAGTTAATAATTTAAGCTTAAAAATTTGAGTATCTGGATTATAATTTTTTAAAATAAAAAATAAGGTAACTAAACCAGCAGGCAACAGCCACTATTTGAATGTGTCAAATACATTTTCAGTGAGCATTTAGATAAATAAGAATTGCATCGTACTCAGGATATATGTCATTTTTTATCATATTTATCATGAAAGAAACAACATCTATCATGGTAAATAGTAGGCTTTTTAAAAGAAAAATATACTGTTTTAAAGTGTAACAACTGTGTTTCCATGTCCCATTGAAAAGGTTCAGAAAGGATGTCCTCCACATACCTGGAGAAGCCCTTCCCACAGACAGAGCAGATGTAAGGCTTGTGAACTCCACCGTCATGGGAGCGGACATGGTATGTCATGCGATCCTTCCTCTTGAACCTCTGCTGGCAGATGGGACACTCGAACGGCTTCTCGTCAGAGTGCGACAGCTTGTGGCGGTTGAGGTGGTACACATCTCTGAAGGCCTTACCGCACATGTCGCAGCCGTGATTCTTTTTCACTGGTTTGGGGGGCTTTTTGGGGATACTCTGCTGCTGTTGGTGCTGCATTGGGGTCATGATGCTAGTGCCTGTGGAGGTTGACGTGGTGGCTGTAGTCAGGATACCAGCTACAGTAGTAATGTATGAAGGATTTCCGCTATTCTCACGTGGTACAGTGGATATGAGCGGCACCATGGTGGGGGCTGTTTGTGTCTTCTTAGGCCGCGAAACCATCTTAATGCCAGTGTGGCAAGACTCATGCCGCCGCAGGTGGTAGCTGTCTCGGAAGGCCTTGTTGCAGTAGCCACAGATGAAGGGTGTCTTTGATTTAGGCTCCTTTTTCACCACAGCTAATGGAGGCCCTCCACCACCTCCCCCGCCAGTCCCACTAGCAACATTGTCTTTAAGAAGTTCTGCAGCACTGACAGGGGGTTTCTGGTCCAAGGGAATGGGCAGCACCGGTTTCTGATCAGGTGGCTCTGTTCCAGAACTGAGCAAAGGCAAGAGGCTGTTCCCGGCTACTTGGTGCTGGTGATGCAGAGCCTCATTGGCCTGCTGTAATGAGAAAGACAGAGCCATATAAAAGATGTTAATACACATCCTTACAACACATATGTAGTGAATGACCAATAAAAATGTTTCTGTGTTTCTTCACCAAGTAAAATACTGGCCATTAGTGTCCTCCATTTTCGAAATAAAAAACATAACATTGCTAGCTTAGTTTACTAACAGGTCAATAGGGCACACCTTATGTTAAGCTGATAGTGGAACACCCCCTGCTGGAACACAAGGCAAAGTACTTCAAACAGTCTGCTGCACTTATAAACTGTACATTTTGAATAAAATCGACAGTCCAAGGAAGCATGTGGCAACATTTCTGAAGGACTGGATGAAAAACCGTGTCCTATGTCTTCTATATTTAAAAATAAAAAAATAAAAATAAAAAAGACACTATGTTTCATTATGGTAGGGTTTGTTGAGGTCAATTCATGGATTGGATTGCATTAGATTATAGGTGTACCTAATAAACCAGTAATTGTGTACATCATACAAACATTCTAAAGACATACATTAGCAGTTTCTAAATGTTAAACGCAACAAACACATTCTGCCCCCTTACAGGAAATGAATCTGTATGTGACAGTAACCGAAGATTTAACTGATAGGTTCATCATCAGTTCAGCATCAGATTCAGTATACACGGACCCTTCTAAAACTAGGGCTGCACAATTAATCTAATTATTATGTTTTTGATAACATAAGGTAAAATGTGTGACAAACAGCATTACAATGAAGTACTGTAGTGATGCAGAGATGCCCTGGCCTACAAATTGTGATGATTTTTACATTTTTTTCAGTGAAAATTAACTTTGTTGTAAAAAAAGATAACCCCCACACTAATTGTGAATCATATCGCAATAGCTGTCAAAATAATATATGTATTATGTATAATAATATGTGGTTTTTCCATATCGTGCAGCTCTATCTAAAACAACGCGCAACTAAATTTGTTTGGGAAAGGAAGGAGGAGCAGGTGTTCTGCAGAGCCATACATAAAATTACAATGTGACACATCTGAAAGTCTACAGCGCAAATAACAAAAATGATAGAGACAATAAAGGACTGAAAAATGTGCCGCTCAAATAAATAAAGCTATGACAGGCACAGAAAATGTAAACCAACAGCAGTAAACTGTGTATGGAGGACATCTTAAGTCTGCAGCTGCTGGCAGGCATTGTCCGATTGGTCATGGCAGAACCCCAATGGGATAGGACGAACAGAAGGTGGGGGCTTGTATGAATATTTTGGCTGGGGGGGGGGTTATTCACATTGTAACCGGCAACTTTACAACAGGTCAGCCTGGAGACGTGGTGTTTGAGACAGCCTTGTTCTTTTCTGTAATCACTATTGGGTAGGGTTAAAGACCTGACCCATGGCTTTTCAGGTTCAGCCAAGCATCCCAACCCGGTCAGCCAGGAGGGGGGATGTGGTCTGAGGGGACCAGGACTCCAAGTGCTCCTTTTTTTCCCCACTGTGTTCTTTTATGGACGACAGAAATCCAAGCACTGATGCACTTATGGGAGGGGGGTGGGGGTGAGGGGCTTGTTCAGCTGCCGGCCACGTCCCTACTTAGTAAAGGCGGCCACGCTATGTGTTTTAGCGTGGTAGAGAGGGGAGCTGGGGGCCGTCACAGGTTGTCGACTTGCTTTTATATCTGCCACACTGTAGCAGAGCTCAGACAAGAATCATTATCGCAATTAGCATTTCTCCTAGCATATGTGTATGTCGAAGACAGCCGAATGCTCTCGCTTTCTCAGCAAGAACAGGGAGAGCGGCCTGCTGTTCTATCATGCTGCTCTGATGATTTTGATACAAATCTGTTGTGAAGGGTGAGGTCCCTTCCAAGATAAATAGTACTGAAAAAGAGTTAGGAGCATGGAAATTAACAAGAAATGGTACATATAAAACTAATCCAGTCATTGTTTTGTTTTTTTCACTGCAAGGCGGGGTATGGAGTCCCATTTGATAGAATGTTATGTCCACAGAGCGATGCCGTAATATACTGCCTTTCATTTGTTTCTATACAAACCTTGCATGTGACTAAAAAACAAGATTTCATTTGCATAAAATTTCAGAGAGATTTTTTTCTGCTTCTTTCAGGAATATCACTTAGCTATTGTAAGATGTTTGTTATAAATATAATAAGGGCACAAAAAAGAAATCAACACAACTTAACAGAAAAATACCTTGTTAATTACAATATAGCCAGTAGTTCAAATATAAACAGCAACATTTGTGGGGCAGTCCCCAGAGTACCATAGCCTGACAGCAACTCCAAACCCCATCACAACAACGCTGGAGAACAATAACAAGTGAAGTTCATTAGAATGCTGCCTCATTAGATGCTTCATCACATGAGGTGAACCAAGTGGACCCTAAATAATAAGCCTCCTAAATGACACGGTGAGGAAATTTTCCCACCACTTTATAAACTCATGACAACAACGTTACCGATTACTCCGGACATTTTACATTTGAAGATATTCATCAGTGAAACACGGTGCGGAGCAGAGCAGTCACAGGTGAAGTGAACCAACGCTAACTTACTTTGAGCTCATTAATTTGGTTGCCTCACTCTTGTGCGCTGGAAGGTGTGTGTGTGGATTAAAGGTGTTACCTCCAGATGCTGCCACCTACATCAGACAAAGTTCACAAATTGCCTCATTAATGTTACAGGATTCTTATTAGCATGAGCAGGGTTCCCAGGGCACTTAAGTGGGTCTGAATGGGTATACTCAATTTTTACTTGCCCATATGAAACTCTTTTTATTTATTGGCCCTGTCTAATCGTTATGGCATTTTCTGGAAACTTAACATGTCTTTTCAAAATTTCGCCTTGCCATCAAACTTGTGTCAAGTCTGGGTTTCGCCCACATCCTTAAACACCGCCCAACTAAACGCTATGAGCACTTCAACTCATAAACATTTTGAAATGGTAAATGGATTGTACTTATATAGCGCCTTTCTAGTCTTTCAACCACTCAATGCGCTGTACACTACATGCCACATTCACCCCATTCACACACAAATTCATACACTGATGGCAGTGGCTGCCATGCAAGGTGCTGACTGCTCACCAGAACAGAAACTAAGCATTCATACGCAGTGATACTCCAATATCTATGCCTGAGCACTGTGCAACAGCGGTAATACCAACTACTGCGGCAAGCCTAACTTCATTACCGTCGCCTTGTCTACTACATACCAACTCCAGGTATTCTGGTCTGACATTAAACCATTCTGTGACAAATACTTAGCGCTGCACTTCTTTAGCAGTGGAGCAAAGTAGCAGCCTACAAATACGGTAAGCCTTGCTATATAAGCATGACAAATACCACGGCAACTGAGGCTTCATGAAATCAACCACTGAGTGTCGACAGGCTTTGAACCTGTGTGTTTCATTCACCAGATTGACAGTCTGAAGAGTTAAATCATAACATTTTAATTGCAGGTAGTTTAAAAAATGTTTAATGAGTTATAATCTGCTTTAAAAGTCCTATTCTTATTTTTTAACAGACAATGATGGGAACTGGCCATGGAGGGAAAAGAAACTCTCCTGTTGAAGCTGCAGAAGGTAATTTTTTTTGTCATATTTGCTGAAACCTTCACTATATCCTTCAGTAGTACATGAGACAGATAATCTGTGAAAAAAAAAATCAGGTTCCTCTGGCTCCTCCTAGTGCTCCTAATGGTATTTGCAAGAATCCACCACGCCTGAACGAAAACAACAACATTATCATTCCCAGGGCCCCAAAGCATCTGTATTTGACACCCTGGGAATGAGACTCAACATCTTCAAGCCTCCGACCCAAAGCGGCTTTATATCTTTCTCGGCTCTGATTGGTTGTTTCCACCCAGGCCCGGTGGATTATTGCGCAGGAGCACTAGGCGGAGTCAGACTAAAATGATTTTTTCACCGATTATCTGTCTCATGTACTGCTGTCAGGATATAGTGAAGGTTTCAGGGAATATGACAAAAAGTTTTGCAAAGTTACCTACTGCAGCTTTAAATGAGAATAAACAAGAGGCAATCAGGTTAATAAAACATTTGTTGACTTAATTTAATCTTGCTGTCACATTTGTGCATTACAACTAAATGTAAACAAAAGTATAATGCATGGAATTTAAAGGTTTAACAAAGAAAGTTCCAAAAATTGTGATACAGCCAAACCCGAAAAATTGAGAAAAATAAATTCTCAAAATTGGGCATGAAAGTAGGGCTGCATGATATGGTGAAAAAAATTAATGTGATTATTTTGACAGATATTGTGATACTCTTCACATTCTTGCATAACAAATTTCATTTTCATTGAAATCAAAATGATGATGTGACATTTTTGGGAGTCTGTACCAACAAACATGTTCTCTTACATCTGGAGAACAAGATTAGTAGGTAAGGCTATCTCTAAAGCTCTACAGTACTTCATTATTATCAGAATCAGAAATACTTGATTCATTTTACCAAATAGCAGCTTATGCAATTTGGACATTGCACTTAGCCATATTGTGATTTTGATCATATTTTCTACTAATTGTCCAACCCTATGTGAATGGGCATCAAAATTTGGCATTTGAACAATTAAGCTCCTGGCAAACTGTTCAGTGTTTCTTAAAATCAATGAAAAATCCTTTTCAGCCTTACTTAATAGTAATTATGTCAATAGTTTATAAAACCATTTCTGAAACCTGGTGTCAGGACCTGCTAAAGCTGTAAGACTGTACAAAGCAACTTGAGGAGAAAGTCCCAGAGAGCACCGCAGTACGATACATCCAGTCTGTGAATATAGGCTGGACATTACATTTTGTACAGTTACTGATTAAATGTGGCCATTTTAATTAATACAGTAAATGCTGGAACAATCTTGTACCACAGTGTGCAGTGTTTCTAACAGCAGCAATGAAACACTGAAAAATCTGATTTCACAACTCTGACTGCTAGCCAGCTGATGAGGCTCATGGGGACTGTAGTATTTAGTGTCCATTGACGCATAAAACTGATGGATTTATCAGGAACAAAACTGAAAAAGATATATATATATATATATATATATATATATATATATGTATAACCAATGGACATAATACAACCCAATGATATCAAGAATTGGCTTGGGTTTCTGTGTTAATATTCATGTAACAAAAAATGCAAAAAGAATTTAAAAAGGGAGGAATAACTGGATATATCCACTTCTCCAATTTACAGCCATCTCTCTTTACTCATCTCTACTTTCAGGGAGTAGGTAAACTATTCTTACCATTAAGATTTTTAACCCTTCCAGGAAACTGCAACCTAATTGTTACATACTGGAATCATATTATATTCTGTAGTAGCAAAATCATGTTGGAATATAAAATACTGGAGACCCTTAGTTGGTAATACAACAACAGATACTGTAACAAGTTATACTCTCCTGTCAAAAAGCAGAGAAACACAGTTTGTACTTACTGCAGATCGTTCTCCACAGTATGGTAAAAACATCATATTGTTATTAATTTGACAGATGTATATATGATTTGCAACTGGTATAAGAATGATAATTTTTGCCTCAAAAACGCCTTAAAACCATGTGACATTTTCATGGTTCTTAAACAAAACAAACTTATTTTCTTAAATCTGGAGAACAAGATTTGTAGGTCAGGGTATCTCTGCAGCACTACAGTACATTATAATGCTGATTGTCACATATTTCACTTTTATCAAAGAAATTGCCGCGTCTGCGATTTGCATATTGTAATTCGATTAATTGTAACTGCAGTCATAAATAGCTACTGTATCTCCGGAGCAGGACTTCATTCAACCAAAACTTCATTCACACAAGGAGCAATTAAAGACTGATTTGCTGACAAATTATGGAGGGTTTTTAATAAACTCTGCATATGGTTTACGGAATTAACTACTTGGCACCCCTTTATTTTCATGAAATCTCCGCTCCTGCACTACCTGCATCACTCATGGTGATGCAGGGCCATAAGTGGAACACTGACCTTAACGTAAGTTACTTGATGTAAAGGATGTGTGACAAACTAACGAGTACCTTCCTAATATTTTAAACAGTTCTTAAAACAACTTGCACACACTATATTGTGTTTCCTAAAACAATAGGCCACGTTAACGTTACACTTTCAACTTTACATGGTGGCTGGCGTGTACAAGTTTAGTGTCCGGCCAATGGTGACTGGAGGTTTTCGTACACTTGTTTGCGATCTATGGTTTCAGATTTGCACAAAAAAAAAGGAAAGGTTGGAGTCTTAAATGCGGTTTAATCTCTGCTGTCCGCGTGCTATGTAGCCTTCAATTTACACTGTTAGCGTTAGCTAACCTCTTGATAACCGACGGCTGTCTGCTGTAAGCCTACCAAAAGCTAAACAGCTGCCCTGCTTAATCAACACAGTCTGGAACACACAATAACTCGCTGTCCACACTGCCAACTATAGTTATCTGTATTGCAGCGAGAATTACTGTAGTACTGGCGAGGAAAGTACCCAGGTTAGCTAACCCGTTATCCAATTAGCTTAGCTTTACCTACATGCAACAGCAATAGCTCGACCTACTAGCCAATTTGCTAGCGCGCGCGCATCAACAGCAGTGGCAACAGAAATGTCCCTCGCGGTGATTTTGTACAAATTAAGACAAAGCTCGCGCTCTGGTTTCACACACACATCAGATCATTTAACCAACACAACCGAGGCCCCACAGGGTCTCTGTAGAGCACACACAGCCGGAGGTCTGGGGTCCGATAAAGCTGGTTAGCAGTTTGCTAAAGCTACCCACACAGCCGAACTAGCTAGCAGGCTAACACCTTTGTTTTGCTTAGCTAACTCTAATTCATTTCAGAAAGTGATAGAAGAATATTTGGCTAACAACATTTACCCCATTTCGAACGCGTTTGTGCAGTTTCTCAGACTACTGCTGTACTGTGCCACTTACTTGGAATAAAAACGTACTCCAGCTCGGTTCCATTGCAACACTTGGCAACACAAGCTAAAATCTGCAGGAAACCTACAAGGAATCTACAACAAAGCAGCTAAACATGGCAGCTACAACTTCCTGTAACCCCCAGGGCTGAACCAAGGCCAGTGGACTTTTTTTAGGACGTCTGGACTACAAGAAATATTCAGATATTACAACCCCTCCAAAGAGACACTGCTGTCGGACAAAAATGAAATGTATCACTATATAAACGAAAAGCTATTCCCATACAGACATATATACAGTATAATGAGCAACGGAAGCATGTTTTCATAAAAATAACAATATTGGCAGAAAAACAACACTATAATGATCTGATTTTGTATTAAACCTTAGTACTCAGGTGATCAAATCTGTTTTAAGAATTACTTAAAAATATGGAACATTCTTTACATTTCGTGGATTATGAGTGGAAATTCAACAAATATAGGTTTCATTTAAAAAGGTGCAAGTGACTGGATGTATAGAAGTAAAGGTAAATATAGGTTTCATGTTTGTTTATGAAACATTGTGAAGTTTAAATATTTTTTAATAAAAAACTAGTGCGAGGATAAAATGTTTTATTTAATTTTTCATGTACATTTATCATTGCACAGTTCCATTTTCTTGGGCTGCAACTTAATGTTATTTCCATTATTGATTATTCTGGTTTTTACTTTGTCGATTACGGTAATCAGTTTGTTCATAAAAGGTCAGGAGATTATGAAACATTTCCGTAAGTCAAAGGTGATATCGTCACATGTCCTGTTTTGGCCGACCAACAATCCCAAATATATCTTCATGTAGAACATCAGATTCTTACAATTTAGAAGCAAATAACGTATAATTTCTTTCACTATTTAGGCAAAAATGCCAAATTGATTGTAAATACAGTTGCCAATGATTTTTTTTGTTGATTGACAGTTGTCTTTAACTATGTGTTTGTCCACAAAGTTAACTCTGAGACAGCAAGGACTGGAAGAGGGGAGGGGGGATTTATATCATTTTATTTTTGCATTGAGGACAGACAGTTTAATGCACTGTAAATGCAGGCTACAAGTGTATGAGTGGGGAAGTGTCAGTTAATCATTTTGGGAAATATGCTGATTCAGTTTCTTTCCAAGAAATGAAAAGATGGATATGAATCTCTTGTTTGTGCGTTAAGTATAGAGTGGAAATCAGGACATGGTTAACCTAGCTGCCAGGTTTTATTTTAGTTCAACTAGCAACTCTGTGAGACTGTACTTGGCACAGCGGTGCTTTGAATGAAATGTCAAGGCAGTAATTATAATAAAAATTAGGGGGGGACACATCCCCAAATATGCTCAAAATGCCTCTCTATTTCACTCTCCCTATTTCATTACTTTTAAATGTATTTAAAAATGGAAAGCTAGAATGTAATATGAGTGTTACCTAGGGCACTGGTTCCCAATCTGGGGGTCAGGACCCAGACTAGGGGTCTCCTAAAGGTTTACAGCAGGTCGCTAGGGCTTCTTGATTTTAAGAGGTAAAAGGAAACTTCCAAAATATACACATTAGGTCTACATGTCAATAATTTCTGTGAAGAAAGCTAAATGAAATTGTTGTTTTTAAAGTTTAGATTATTTTAAAAGAGCAAAGTTCTGAAGACCTGAACACAAGTTATATTCACAGAGCCTTCACTCTGTCATAGAGCCTCGTCCTGCATTAGAGAAGTTCAAACAACCAAAGAGCTAACAGGACAATGGCCAAATGTCAGGGAAAGGAATTTACATTTTTCAAAGAAGCCTATCAAGAATGAATGATTGTTGTTACGGTATTTGGGTTCATTGTACAGTTTATCAGTTGTTCTCTACTGTTATTGTTAAGCATGGAATATAATATCAAATATCCATAAAATATGTCACGTGAGGGCCGTCAATACCAAGACCAATAACGTTGTGAGCAGCCACACTGATGAAAAATTTCCCACCACCCACTTTTAAAAAGATGTATTTATATTTATTGTTAGTTATTGTTCTTGGTGTGGTTGGCCCTTTAGTTTGGGGTTGTCAGTTTACTCAATTACAGAAAAGAGGTCCCTTATGGAAAAAGGCTGGGAGCCACCAACCTTGCAGTACGTCACTATATTACCGTTGATTGTGACAGTTTTTGTTAGTTTTCATGGTTTTATGATTTTTTAAATGAATAGTTATGGTCTTGCAATGTTATGGTAAATTTATTATTAATTATTATAAAGATAAAAAGTTCATCAAAGTTCATCATGTGTTTGTGGATTTTTAAACCGAGTTGAAATTAGGTTTTCTGCAGATTTACTCCAAATCATACATGTTTCTTTTGTCTAAAAGGGATATGATGTTCACAATGAAAATTCTACCTTACTGATGTTTAGCATGTATAATGTTTATCATGTTCACCATCTTAGGCATTGCAGTTATTTGGTCATAAACCAAAAATATTGGACATTTTGACCTGATGATGACTATATTAAAGGTCAAGGGAACGGATTTATTACAATGCATCCTCTTAGGATACTGACTTCCTGTACTAAATTCCATATCTGTACAAAATGTTGTGCCTATCCATCAAGTATATGGAGGGTCTTTCAATGAAGAAATACTCTCCAGTTCTGATGTAACTGATGCTAGCAGTTTCTATGCTAACCTCTTTAGCAGCCGCCATTGTTGTTTTGGAGCATTTCTCACACACAGTGTCACACACACCTAGCATTAAACCTCATGCTGTAGCTGCCAGTAGTTTCTCACAGGACGCTGATCACTCCAAACTACTGTGGTTGACAGAAATGCATAGCTTGAGTCATGGCAAGATAGATTATAATGTCTCTTAAAGTTATTGTTGGGTCTCTGTAAATTGTAGTTATGTTATGTTTTGGCGCTATGTAAATTAAATTCAACTGAAACACATACAGAACAGAACTGTGAAACATAAATGATAAATGAATGATGATCATAAATCAACAGTCACAATTGAGCTATATCAACTCAGTATACTCATTTCAAGCTGTGTGACTGTGATTGTAGTGTTGTTCACATCTGGCTGACCTGTATTGTATAGTTCTGTCTTAACATGCTGAATCTAACCCAGCCTTTCACTAAATCTATATACAGTGACAACTGAATTCCAGCCCAGTGCAAAATGCAGTTTGTGACTGGTGCATTACTTCTCAACCAGAGTCCTCTGCAATAGTTTGTAAGTTTATGGCCTGCAGATGATTCAGTGGAGAGGGGCTGGTGAAGACCCAGACCCTTTCCATGCATCTGTCCCTAACCTGCTGTCATTGCCCTATGCTCTGATTTCGAAATATCTGAGGCACCATCTGGAAAATAAAAGAAATGTAGAATGATTTATTCCTCTCTAACTTTTACTTTTCATGCCTGCTACATACAGAACCTTTGCATATGCCTGTATTGTGTCCGCTTGCTAGCTTGTTCCATACTCTTTTTGTTTGACTGTTCCCGGCTGTTCAGAAAAGGAACCTCCCCCCATTGTGTTTTGAAATCTTTGTTGCACTGTACATTGCCAGCCTTTGTAGCCACATAGCACAATGTGAGTTTCAGATAGACTGACTCAATATGTGTGGTCAGCCTATTCTCCCTTACCACGTTCAACAGGATTAATTTCATCAACGCTTTAAGATTGAAAATAGCCATGCAAACTGCATGGCAAAGGCTACCGTGTAAGGATTTATTCTGGAAAGCTCAAGGTTACATTAAGGTGAGTTCTGATTGCATTCTGTTGTTATTTTATGTACTTTCTCCTCAAGGACTATACTGTTCAATACAGTAGTTTAATACAGTAGTTTAATAAAGTAGTTTGTCTAACTGTGTCTGACAAGAAGATGAGTTACAAACTTACACAATGATTAATGCATCAGGGCTTTAGCTAACACTGAAGGCACAGAACCTAAGGTGCAGTTTATATTTTAGATCAGTTACTTTTGAATTCAAAACATTTTAGGCATTTAAAAATATAGAAATACATTAATACAATTCCCCACCGGGATTTAATTCCCAGCAAGTGTAGAAATCTCTAAAATCTAATCTTTAACAATAATGTATTGAAATTCTGTAAAAACCGTTTTACAATTAATTCTAACAAAATCCATAATAGAGCAGTTTGAAAAAACCTTAGAGGTCATGGATGAACCCAGTTTGGTTTCTGCCTAAACATTTACCTCCCCCCTCGATTTAGCTTCCATTTGAATACAACTTACTATCACAATGACAGACTAATTTGAGGAGCAGGAGTGATAAAATAGAGGAGAATATAAAGGTAACCAGTGTGAAGATAGTTGTGATGCATTTATGGTGAAACATCTGATTCAGGGTTAGGATTAGTACCCTAGAGGGCACTTTATCTTGTGTTTTTCACTGGAAAGGCACCTCAGAGAGCACGTTATTCTGTTTTGTCCACTGGAAGGGCTCCCCAAAGAACACTTCATCACCATTTCTCCACTGAAAGGGAACCCTAGAGGGACTTTATCATGTTTTATCTACCACATAAAAGTGCCCTCTTGCCCTCTTGGATACCCCTTAGTAAGGTGTTGGGCCACCACATGCTGCCAGACCAGCATCAATGCTCTTTGGCACTGATTCTACAATTCTCTGGAACTCTACTGGAGGGATGGTACACTATTATTGGTGGAGTATGTCATCTAAAATGTTGGTCAGAAATCTCCCATAGGTGCTCAGTTTGGTTGAGATATGTTGACTGAAGGCCATAGCATACAATTCCCATCATTTTTATACTCAAGAAACCATTCAGTGAGGGGGTTCCTATGAGGGCATTGTCATTCTGGAGACCAGGTGATCACTCAGAACAACTTTGTATTGATCTGCAGTGACACAACCTCTAAAGAGGACACGTGGACCCAAACCATGCCAGCAAAATGCCCCCCACAACATAACAGATGGGTGCATTATCATCCTGGAAGATACCACTCCCGTCAGGATAGAAATGTTTCATCATAGGATAAAGGTTGAGACTATGGTGAAGGTTGACTCATCTAGACATATCACTTTTTTCCACACCTCTGCTGACCGGAGCCTATATCAAATGTGCATTCATCTTTGTAATGAGGGGTTTATCACTGCAGTTCTAT